CATTTCAGGAAAGGAATGAACAAGTGATGAGAAGTGGCCAGAGCCGGGAGACAGCCCTTGAAGAGGCCCAGGCCGAGCCCCCAGCAACCATGTGTTGGCAGGTAGGCTGAGACCCTTGCCTAGACTCAGTGACAGCTGAGGTGTGACTCAGTCACACCCAGTCATGCACAGGGGTTACTCCTGGCTCTGCACTCAGGAATTACTCCCGGAGGTACTTGGGGGACCATATAGGGATGCTGGGAATCGGAACTGGGTCGGCCACATGCAAGGCAAACACTCTCCCCACTGTGCTATCACTCCAACACCCCATCATTTTTCAGAGCACCTGATCAAGGGTGGATGAGAATTCAGCACTGAATGGACACAGGAGTGTGTGCCTAAGAACGCTGCTGGTGACTGGCTGCTGTTTCACTCCAAAGACACTTAGCGAAGGTGCTTGCTTAGAAGCACAGTGAGTTATTATCAACGTCTTTTTGGTCAGATCAGTTAATGATTCAGATCTAATTAATTAACCCGACAATGGTTTACTTTTAAATGTGAACCAGCTAGATCAGATGTGTGCAGACAGACGTGACCGAAACACAAATTTTCTAGGTAATTTCCTTAAATCTTTCCTTCGGCAACTTGGCTTTTCTTTCCTCTTCTGCTTTTGCTCTACACAATGGAGTACTATGTAGCTGTTAGAAAAGATGAAGTCATGAAATTTACATACAAGTGGTACTACATGGAAAGTATCATGCTAAGCGAAATGAGTCAGAAAGAGAGGGATAAACATAAAAAGATTACATTCATCTGGGGAACATAAAGTAACAAAATAGAAGATTAATACCCAAGAATAGCTGAGATTAGTACCAGGAGGTTTACTCCATGGCTTGGAAGCCAGCCACACATGCTAGGGAAAAGGGCAACTCAGAAAGGGAAGGGAGCACCAAATAGATGGTGTTGGAAGGATACTCCCAGGATGGGAGAAGCAGGCCAAAAGTAGACTATAGACCAAACATGATTGCCACTCAGTGCCTTTTGTGGACCACAATGCCCAAAAGGAGAGAGAGGACAAAAGGGAATGCCCTGCCACAGAGGCAGGGTGGGTTGGGGGGGATGGGGGGGGTGGGAGGGATACTGGGATCCGTGGTGGTGAAAAATGGGCACTGGTGGAGGGATGGGTATTTATTTGATCATTGTATAATTCAAACCCAAGCACAAAAATTTGTAAGTCTACAACTGTACCTCATGGTGTTTCACCAATAAAAATTAAAAAAAAAACAACCTCAGTGTGTGGCTGGAGAGACAGTAGAGCAGGTAAAGCACTGGTCGTGCACAGGCTGGCCCGGGTTTGAGCCCCGGAACCCCAGGTGGTCCCTTGTCCTGCAAAGGGGATCCCTGAAAGAAAAGAGCCAGGAGTATCTGCTGGACACTGCTGGCTGTGGCCCCCAAACCAAAAATTAAAAAAATTAAGTGTGACTATGTCTCCAAAAGACATGGAAAGATCCAGTGAGTAAGGTTTCTTTGCAGAGAGACAGACTCCCTCTCACCCGTCCTTACAGTTTCCGGGCACTCTACCACAAGGACACTCTCCTTTCTACACTAGCAGCAATCAGTAAGATGAAGCGTACGACAAGCTGCCTCTAACACAAGGAGCTCCTGAAAACTGATTTCACTGCAGTTTAACAAATGACCATCTACTCACATGCATCACACACAAAGCACCTAATTTTTTCTCCAGAAAGTGCACAAGTCATATACCATTACATGAAAACCTTTATAATAACAATTACTGATTCTAACTCAAAACTAATCACTTTCCACAAGCATAATCTATACCTGGAAACATTATCCTGTTGGAACTGGAGTGATAGCACAACGGGTAGGGCGTTTGCCTTGCATGCAGCTGACCCGGGTTTCATTCCCAGCATCTCAAATGGTCCCCTGAGCACCGCCAGGAGTAATTCCTGAGTGCAGAGTCATGAGGAACCCCTTGCATCGCTGGGTGCGACCCAAAAAGCAAAAACAAAACAAAAGAGACTAAAAACATTATCCTATTGATTACTACAACAACTCATGTATGTCACTTAGCTAAGACTATTTTCTACTTATGGTCAGACTCCTGCCCGCTGGTTGAAGATCCTTTACAATTCTATTTCTGAGATTTACTCAAACACGGCAGCACCCGGGATCCACTATCGTCGAGAGCTACAACGGTGCTATTTCCTTGCTTAGGTTTCTCTCCAGTGCGAGCTGGCCCTAATTTAGTAAAAATGATGAATGGGTTTCAGTGCTGAGAGGAGTTGGTTCAAAGCACGAAAATAGTTCATTGTGTAGGCAAGCTGATTTTAATCATGACTGTCTGGAGCAGAACAGAAAGTGCCAATTTAAACTGAAATGAGCAATACTAATTAGTTTCCATTACCAAAAAATAATAAAGAACTACATCACGGTTTTCCTCTGTCTCCTTAAGTGTAGTTATAAAATTGTACTTACAGTTTTTCTTCAAACTTAGCAATACTGGGAGTTGTTAAGACTAAAAACTGAGTTATTTAGTGTTAGATATTCAAAAGTGCTCTGAAAGGCAATTCAAGAGCTAAGTTATATGAGGAAAAAGAATCCTGCAGATGGACAGGACAGAATTAATAGAGTTGGGTTTGCGTGGGTTAGGAACAGAAGCTTGTTTCCAGGGCTTTCAGAGACACCACATATAGCCTGCAGGGAACTAACTGCAAGGTCAGGGATTCTCCTGTGTCTCCTTTAGAGTAACAGGAAAGCCTTGGACTAAATAATTTATTGCTGAAATCTTTGTTTTAGAGGTGTATCTGTTTTCTTCCTTGCTTTGGGCCAATTTGATAGTTTTTCTCCACTTAAAATGGGTCCTTACTGAAAATTCAACCATTAATAATTAACGTAACATTTCTGCAAATTTTCATCCAAATATGACATTCTAAAACATATCACAGTCTGTTATTATAGTGCCTGCCAGCCATGATCAGTAGGAAAGCCTCAAAGAAGTCAGAGCGAGAGAAGGCTGAGGAGCAGTCATCTCTCGAGCTGGGACACAGCTCCAGGTGAGTGTGTGGGTGAGGGACCCCCGGAGGAGAAGAGACCCAGAACAGGCCATTACACAAAGAGGGCCTGAGTTCGAACTGCCCCCCTGCCAGCCCCATCAACACACACTGAAGAGACAGAACTCCTGTAGGATAACATCGGTATGTCCTGTCTCCCTTGACAGAGGGAGCTTGGATTTACTGGGTTGCACCCATTCACAGTGCTCCCAAGGCACTCCCATTCCTGTGTTTATCTGTGACCACCCATCAGAGGCGGCGAGAGAGAGCAACGGGGCTTCATATTTATATACACAGACTCTCACTTGCCACTGCTTCTCAAAGGGATGTCACAGCATGTCAATCCTGCATCGCAACCTTTGGAAGCTATTTACTCTTGAAACATTTTAATCTTTACCATTCACTCTAGAATGGGTAAGTTGAGGTTTCTTAGAGTGAATGCATAAATATTCCCAAATAAACCACAGTAAGTTTCAAATGGGTCCAGTAGTGAATAAATTATCTAGCAGAGTCAGGAAAAGATCTAAACGTGCTTGACTGTTCAATAATTCCTGTTTGTTCACCTGTATACAGGGAGGAGAAATTTCAAATAATTCTTAACAATATACATATGACCTAATTGAAAAAAACTGTAGCGGCTGGAGCAATAGCACAGCAGGTAGAGGGTTTGCCTTGCACACGGTCAACCCGGGTTCGATTCCCAGCATCCCATATGGTCCTTTGAGCACTGCCAGGGGTAATTCCTGAGTGCAGAGCCAGGAGTAACCCGTGTGCATAGCCAGGTGTGACCCAAAAATAGAAAAACAAACAAACAAACAAACAAACAAAACAAAAAAAGAAAAAAACTGTAGATAACTAATTTTTAACACTTCATTCATTATTTCTCATCACAGACTTTTGTTTGAAAAGGTGATACTAAGAGGATTCTATGTAATCCACACTAGACAAAATGGCAATTATAACTCCCTTGGTAATTTGTCACCATTAAGTTTTGCTTGCCAATATTTAAAAAGAAGGTCTAAAAATAAGGTCTCTGAGCTAACCTAGGGTAGAACAAAGCATAACAGAAAACTGAGAATGAGAAAAAAATCTACTTCCAAGGGAAAAGAGATTTTGCTTTTTATTTTTAGTCACACACCATAATTAAGCATGCTTAAGAGGGGCGGGGGCCTTGCATGCTCCTGAGAAGACTGAGGGTGGAGAGGAGGGAAAGACCCCCTATGCTTCCTGAGCACCGAGTGCCTGGGCGCTGCCATGAAGGACCCAAACTCACCCCTGCAAACACAGACCAAACATGATTTCAGACAGTCAAAAATAAAATAAAAAGTAGACACCTAACTAGAAAAATGTTTTCAAATCAATTTTATTTAACTGTGGGGAAATGGTTATGAATTAGTTATCAGATGGCACAGGATATTTTGAAAATTTAAATTAGGAGTGCTAATGAGTGGGAATTATTTAGGATGCCATCGTGATTATTTGAGTTTTTTTTTTTTAGATTTAATAAAGTATGACATGTCTGGGATGTGCTTCAAATATTTCAGCAATGTTGGGCCAGAGCGATCCTATAGCGGGAGGGCACTTGCCCTGCACGCACAGACCCAGGCTCAATCCCAGACATCTCCTGTGGGTCCCTTGAGCACTGCCAGGAGAGATTATTGAGTGCAGAGCCAGGAGGAACCCCTGCACATCACTGGGTGTGGCCCAAACCACCTCCCCTCAAAAAAAATCTCAGCAATGAAAGAAAAAATAGATGAAGCAAATGTAGGAAAAGGGAAGAAACACTAATCCCGAGTGAGGCATATATTTCATTTTGAAAGTTTCAGTACAAAGTTAACGTGTAATCAGAATATTAGATAAAGCCAAATACAAAATTAAAAAGAACTGGGAGATGGAACTGCAGAGGAAATCCGACTGAGTCAAAGCTAAGGACGAGCAAACCCTCACCTTCCTTTGGGCTCGCGGCGGCAGGAAGAGAATCCCAATCAAGGGTCCACGTGGGGCAAGGGTGCGGAGCAAACATCACTTCAATGCCTTTTTCCTAGAAAAGGAAGTAAGTTCTTTCCGAATCACTAAATTCATAAAATCCCGCAATGTTCTAGAAGTCCACATGTCTATTTCCAAAACTAGGAAGGCACAGACACAGTAATAGGCAGATGGACGTCAAACCCCTGAGTCACATTAGAAACACGGCATGTGGAGCCAGAGAGTGTCCAGAGGCCCAGGTCCTTGCCTGGAATGCGGCCAAATCGAGTGTGATCCCAGCACCACCCAGCAATTCCCTGACCACTGAGCACAGAGACAGGAGGAAGCCTGAAGCACTGCTGGACATGGCCCCAAACCGAAAGACGAAACACCCAAATGTGATAGGTGGCATCTTTTGACAGAAGTTACTTGATTATTTTTCATACTGAAATAGTCCAAAGTAATGCTATTCTTATCTGAAATTGCATAGAAAGGAAAAAAGCTCCCTAGAATTACACTGAGCATCAAAGAGGAAAGTCTCTTGAGGATAAACATTTTATCACAAACAATCCACTGTAGCACTGTAGCACTGTCTTCCTGTTGTTCATCGATTTGCTCGAGCGTGCACCAGTAACGTCTCCATTGTGAGACTTGTTACTGTTTTTGGCATATCGAATATGCCACGGGGAGGAGCTTGCCAGGCTCTGCCGTGTGGGCGGGATACTCTGGGTAGCTTGCCAGGCTCTCCAAGAGGGACGGAGGAATCAAATCTGGGTCGGCCACGTGCTAGGCAAACGCCCTAAATCCACATGAAGATAAATCCCTACTTACTCTGCACACACCCTTCGAGCTCTGTCTTTCGGGGATGTTGGGGGTGGGGGAGTGCTGAGAGCTACTGCTGATGCTCAGCATCTCCTACTCCGGCTGTTTTCGGGGGTCACTCAATGGACCATGCAGTGCCAGGTACCAAACTGGATTCAGTCACATGCAAAGCAAGTGCATTCCCCAGACACCCCTCGAGCCCTCACGGTCCATCTCTGCATAGGAAAAGGAGCTCGGCCTACGAGGTTCTACTCAAAAAGTCTCAACCCGAATGATCATTCACACCAATTTTTTGGGAGGAGGGTGGTGCTGGTGGCGGGTCCTCCAGGGATACATCCCAAAGTGCCCAGAGTCAAGCTCAGTAGCTTTCTAGCCAGCCCTTCTGCTTAGAACACTTCTTCCAAATCTTTAATTGATTCAGGTTTAATGAATTTATTCATCCATGTCTTGACCTCAGAAAAGGAATGTATATTCTGATTACCGTACAGAAAAATCACCCCAACTGCTGCCACCTCCCACCCACCTGCTCACATTATTACTGACATAGAACTTATTCCCTGATACATTACCTACTCATGTTCCCTCTTTATTTTCCCTCCACCAGAATTTAAGATCCCTAAAGGAAACCTAAATGTACTTTTTATATAACCAACATTCAGAAAATTCCTGATGATCAATAGGCACATGCACTTATTGATATTTTACTAACTGAATAAATTTAAAGCCACTAGAGCTAAGGAAAATTTTGGAGGCAAGATTGTATGGAAAGAAACAAAAGGCAGGGAAAAAAAAGTGAGACGTATTTCTCTAAGAAACTCTCCTATTTTATAACTCCACTAAGGACCAATTTCTTCATGTAATTGACACAACCTGACAAGAAATGAGACATATGGCTCACATAATATATTAATTTGATAAAAACAGTCTTTTAAAATGTTAATGGAAAAATTCACTAGTAAGTAACGAAAACAATGCCCTGCTGAACATTTATTTCATCTTTTACTATTATCAAGCTAGAATTAAATTAAAATGGAAAGTTTACCCTTTTTAAGATCTGAACTTTACATCTTTAAAAAACTGAGTGGGGGGGACCTGGAGCGATAGAACAGTGGGTAGGGCATTTGCCTTGCACACGGCTGACCCAGGTTCGATTGCCAGCATCCCATATGGTCCCCTGAGCACTGCCAGGAGTAATTCCTGAGTGCAGAGCCAGGAGTAACCCCTGTGCATTGCCATGTGTGACCCAAAAAAGAAAAAAAAGAAAAACAACTGGGTGAGGGGGCTGGAGCTATAGTACAGCCGGTAGGGTGTTTGCCTTGCACACGGCCAACCACCCAGGTTTGATTCCCAGCATCCCATATGGTCCCCGGAGCACTGCCAAGAATAATCCCTGTGCATCACTGGGTGTGACGCCCTCCCCCACCCCCACCGAAAGGGCCGCATCTACTCATTATAATAAGCTTCAAAACTTTAAAAAAAATAAATTAAAAAAAATGAAAAACTGGGTAAAATGTCCCAGTCATCTTTTGTCCAACCTAAGAGTTACACTAAGATGTCACAGAAAAACCTAAATGTCTGTTATTCTAAAGTTCTGAGCTGTGAAGTGACTTACTGAAGACCAGTGCTAGTGAGCTAAATGCTGGGAATCCAGGCCATCAGATGCTGTCCCCTGGGAGCTCCCCAGTCCCAGCCGCTGAGAAATCCCTGTGTCCTCTTGAAGGACTCGGTTTCAGGGTTAAGACTGCTTTGCCAAGTACCACGTGGGCAAGGTGCTCCTGAGCACTGTATGGTATTGCTCCAATAACAAAAAAAAAACAACAACAAAAGTTGACAAATGCCTACAAGCTCAGTAGATTGCAATGTCCCATGAAAAATCTGAACCCAAATTGTGCATATTCACATACCCTTAACTTTGTCATCGTTGGTCTCGGCCCGCCTATAAACGGAGGCTCACTTTGCTCCTCTGGTTCCTCTGCACCCAGGGTCTCCACAAACTCGGGGTGCTGCTCCTGTGCAGAGGACAGCGACTCCGGCAAGTGGAGGAAATGGATCCCGCACTGAGAAGCTGCTGTTTTCACGCGTGGCACCTCCTGAACCCGCTGGTACCATGCAGTCAGCAGTGGGAATTCCACCAGCTTCTCAGAAAGCTTCTTACAGATGGTGACCTAGGCGGGAGCAACACACATTAGGGATAACAGGACACATGACTATATAGTTTTTGCTTGCCGACAAATAGCAACAGTGAGATGACTTCACACTCTGTATAACTCGTGTATTTTAAGTGCAGGTTCAAACAGTAAGCCTGGCCCCCCGGCCCTGAAGAACAAGCACTACCTGCACCTGCTAAACTGGCTTGGACAAAGGATGGTAACACTATCATTCTCTGCAGCATCTGCTTTGCAGAGACATAAATTTGTCATAACATTTTTTGGAAAGAACAAGCTGAAACACACAAATCTCTTCGTTCCTTCTTGCCTCTGGCTTCTGAGCAGATAGCAGAGCTTGAAGACCTATTATAATTTATGCTTTCGGGGGAAGCACTCAAAAAAACTATCAGTGTTCATTCAGGATGCCAAACGATCTGATGCTTTTGAGTTCTCATCGTATCTGTCCTGAAAACCATGTCCTGATTCTTAGAAAACAGGACGGGGTCAGGACAGAGGGAAAGCTCAATAGCCAAGCGCAGGCTTGCGGGCTTGCAGTTCTCAGAGCACCCCGAGCACAAAGCTGGGAGTAGCCCCAAGCGCCACCAGGTGTGGACTCAAAATCAAAGAAAGAAGAAACAGATGTTCTAACCTTTCTACCCATCAAAAGTTTCTCCAGCGAAGGGACAGGGGTGTAGATCTGAGCACTGCTCCAACCTTCCCTGCACTCTGGAATGCAATCAAGTCTCTCCCTTTTGGGAAAAGCTTGGCGGGACGGTATTGGGGGTTCTGGGGTGCTCATGGGGCAGCGGACCTATCTTCAGCATCAACCTTGGGTAGCTGGCCCCAGAATGCAGCTCCCGAGCCTGTAGACCACCGTGAAGAGTGCCTCTGTAACTGTTCAATCTGCTCCTGGCTCAGCTGTGTACAGCATGGCTGACAGTTCTGGATCAATTCTCCTTTCCCAGAATTTCATGTAAGTGGAATCACAAACATGATTTGTGATTTGCTACACTCAAAATGGTATTTTTTTATCATTATGCAGCGCTTAAATTAAGATTTTTACTCTTCAAACTAGAAAGAGCTAAACTATTGCTCCTGATATAGATGCAGTTTTGCTTCTCATGATCAGACGACTTCTCCTGGCATTCCCACCAAACCTCAGTTTTGTTTTGTTTTTTAACCTCAGTTTTTTTTAAAAGACTGTTCTTGCTTATCAAGACACTGAATGCTGTTTCCATGGGAACACTTATAATGTTACAACCATTTTATGACATGATTATGAACAGATAAGTAAAAAGGTCAAACCACAGATAATCTCTACAAAAATATCTAGCAATAATTATAGCCTAAGGAGCTCGAAAAAAACAGAAAAATTAACACACATGAACAATTTATTTTAACTGGACTTTCAAGGTTAAGTAAGCACAAGAAATTGTTTATATGGACAGGCTTTATATCTAACTTCTTATATGCGGAAATATTCAAAATACTACCATACAAATACACTCTTTGAATCAATAAGCAAGAAAATGTCATCAAAGAACATCCCCCAGTGAGCATTTTTCAAACTACTGTATATGATCAAAGGCTATAAAATTAATGTTTTTTTAATGAAAAAAAAACCTACTAAAATATTAAGCATGTACATAACCTGCTATAGAAAACAAAATATTTCACAATGTCTTTTCAGCAATTCTGATTGTTTGGGGGGAAATTCTAAACAATAATGGTACATCTCTTGTTGAAATAATGAATGTAATCAATGTAGAGAAGAGTTAAGTAGAAATCATCTGCCTCACAGACATTTGGAGGGGTGGGGGGGTATACTGGGGTTCTTGGTGGTGAAAAATGAGTACTGGTGAAGGGAAAGGTGTTTGATCATTGTATGACCAAGACTTAAACCTGAAAGCTTAGTAACTTTTCCCACAAGTGATTCAAAAAATAAATATAAAAAGAAAAAAATAAATAAAAAAATTAAGGTGGAGTTCATGCCCAATTCAATCAGCTAATCAGTGGCTGAATAAATAGCAGTACTCCTACAAAAAAAATATTAAGCATGTAGAGAAAGATGGTTTACTTTTTAAGTACTTATAAACATACTATAAAGATATTTACGTGAACCCTGGGATGCTCACCATCCCTGAGTCTCTTCCTGTTTGTCCCCAACACTGTGCCTGGTCTTCTTCCTCCCCCAGGTCAGTCATTATTCGAACTCAGGACTTGGCTTTGCCCACATACGCGCTCCAGGCGTCCTCTAGGACCCTGGGACGCTCACCATCCCTGAGCCTCCTCCTGATCCTGCAGCCGCAGGTAATTTACTCATACCTAGAAATCTCATGTAACATCTCAGTCTCCATACCTTCACACCAACATAAAAATATTTACTTGTACGTTGATGACTTATAAAATGCATGATTTATTGTGAGCGTTAAAAAGTCTGAAAATCATCTAAATGACATTCTGAGATGTCAAAAGTTTCACCAAATTTTCACCCAAAAATTTTAATTGCCCAGGAATAGATTATATACTACGCAAATAAAGGTTAAACCAAAGTAAATAATTAAGAAATGTTCTCATTTTCTCCGTTTCTCAAGTCCTCTTAGTAGCAATCTTTTATTATTTATTACATGCACATAGCATCTTTTCTTCCTTTGGAAACTAAGTTGTGACTAGGTAACTATATAATTCATATTTAATGAGTCAATAGATGTGTCACTTTGATCCAATTTTCTTTAAATTAGACATGAACATAGTAAACTAAAGAAATCATGAAGAAGACCAACAGTATTTCATGACAGGTATCAGTGACCCCTCTGTGAACTGAGTTAATAAAGAAGAGAGTCAGGAACAAGAACATTGTTAATCATTTGTCTAGAAAAGAGAATCAATGTTTCTCCCCACCCCACTCCAGAGATAACAGAATATGAATACATGTGACATTTAACATCAATGCGGGGTGGGGAGGAAAACACAGTCCCAGGTGCCATCTGCCTCTCCCTGAACCCAAAGCTGGTTAGGCAGAAAATCATGAGCAGTGGCCCCCTCCCCAAAATCCAGAATATCTAGGGAGCTGGGCTGAGAGCGTAAGTGGTAGAACTAGAGCAAACGCCCGGCAGGTAGGAGTGTGATCCCTGGAGCCCAGAGGATCCCAGGTGCCCAGAGCACTGTCAGGCACCCCCCCCCCCCCCCCCCGCCCCCATCTCTCACACGCGGGTAATGCCCATCAGGTGCAGCTAGGATGGGGTGGGGGGTACTCTACGAAAGTAGAAACAAATCATTAGTGTATCTAAACCATTGTTACATCTTTCTTTTTCACCCCATTTCACTGTCAAGTTATTCTGACTATTAATGTTTTGTTTTAGCATTTTAACCCTGGGCCCTCTAATATGAGAAGGGAATCATATTTGAAACAATTTGAAACTAAATGATCATAAGAGTTGCTAACACTGTCCTAAATTGAGCGAGGCTTCCTCCTTGTTGGCCTTTCTCCAGCTCTCTATGTGGGGACGCTGTCCCCGTGCCTCACAGGTGGGCACTTGTCCCTCGCACAGTTGGGGGCTCGGTGCTCCCAACCACTGCCTGCAGATAAGAGGAGGGGCGGGGCTCGGGAAGGGCTGGCCTTACCAGGAAGAGGTGGACACAAGGCAGGAGCACGATGTCGGCCAGCGTGAAGTACAGGCCCTCGGCGAACACGTGCTCCAGCGGGGGCAGCTCCGAGGCCCGGGCCTTGCGGACGTGGGGCGGCTCCCTCCTGGCAGCGGCCGGCTCCTCCTGCACCCCCAGCTTGGAGAAGGCCACCTGCAGCTCCAGGTTGGGGGCCGCGCCGGGGTGCTGGGGCTGGGCGGGACAGGGGCCCTCGGCCTGCTGCTGCTTCAGCTTCTGCCGCCGCAGCTTGTCGTCGTTGTGCACCCGCACTGGCTCCCTCAGCTTCCGCTCCAGCTGCTGCAGCTCGGTGGGGATGCTCAGGGGCTGTGGGGACCCCTGCAGGAAACTCTCAATGGCCAGGGGGACGGTGAGCTCACAGAGTCGCGTCCACTGGCTGACCTGCAACACAAAACCCGCCCTGAAAGGGGTTCTGGGTGGGTGGGGGGGGTGGGGAAAGACAGCGGCTTCCCTGGGGTCTGCAGGCCAGCCGTCCCTGGGAAGGAGCGGGCAGGCCACCGCAGCCACTTCGGGACACGGGCAGTGGTTATCTAAAAATGCAGGCTCTGTTCCTGACCCGGGTCCCAAGGGGCTTTCCTCCTTCCCGGAACTTTCTAGGGCAGCACCCAACCCCTAGGACAGCAGCTTTCCAAAGGCTATTAACAGCCTTTAACAACTCTCAAAGTAACTAAGACAAAAAGCCATCCTCCAGAACATATTTCCAAAGCTCACAGATTTTATCTTCAATGTTACATTCAACACTACACTGAAATGCTGGCTGAGACAAAAGGCTAGTTTGATGTCTCCACACAGCTCAAATAAAAGTCCCTGGGAAGGTGACCAGGAAGGTGACCGCTCCTCACAGCTTTATGAAACAGAAAGAGACCCCTACCTGGGGCTGGAGCGATAGCACAGCTGGTAGGGCATTTGTCTTGCATGCGGCCGACCAGGGTTTGATTCCCAGCATCCCATATGGTCCCCTGAGCACCACGAGGAGTAATTCCTGAGTGCAAAGCCAGGAGTAACCCCTGTGCATCACAGAATTAAGGAAGGAAGGAAGGAAGGAAGGAAGGAAGGAAGGAAGGAAGGAGCCCCAGACTCACTTCAGCACATGCTTTCAGGCAGGTCTTCTTGAAGCCCAGAAGCTCCAGGATCTCCTTCCTTGAGGGGTCCATGTCGTAGGACGTTTGGATTATGTGTCTTAGCACAACAGCAAGTCCAGCTCTACAGAAATTGTCAGGTTTTTCCACCACTGCAGGCAAACGGCAGTTCTGGACTATGGGGGGCAGCTCGTGCCGTGAGATGACATGGGTTTGAACACCCTGGGCCAGGGGACTTTTGGGCCGTGAAAGGTCCTCACTGTCTTCGGTGAGAACCAAGTAAACCTTAAAGACTTTGCAGTCACAGTAGGCCAAGAGGAACAAGCTCACGGCTGTGTGCAGTGGGAAGACGCAGCCCTCGGACTGGTGGGAGAAGCTGAGGTAGAGGCACTCTGCGGGAGGATGCTTCCTGATGCCTTTCATCTTCTCCTTGCATGGGGGCATCTGAGAAGCAGGGAAGAAACACACTGAGACATGGGGCTCTGATACGTTAACTTAGAAGCTGAGAGAAGGGAGTCTTTCTAAAACTTATGCTAGTATTTGTAAGAGATTAGACTCTACAAAATGTGTTCCTGGTCTCCATAGAATTTCCCCCCCAAAAGTCCTTCTGGGTCAGGGAGCAGTAGTGGGATTAGGTTGCTGCTATGGCTCCCAGCACCCCAGAGGGGGTGTAGATGCGGAGGCCTCATGCGGCATGAGGCCATCCCTGGAGACTCCCTGAGTGCTGTGATGGCCCCAGCACAGAAACAACGGCCACCAGTTGGCTGAGAATCACTGGGAGTGACCGCCAGGGTCCCAAGCCCTGGAAAAGAAAAATTCCAGGGAGGCAGTTGAAGGCAGAGCACACACTGCGTGAGCACACACCTGCAACCTGCCACACCAGGAGCCACAGACCACGGATCTCCAAAAGTGGCCAATAGAGAAAACCAGAAAAGACAAGTATTTCTGCCTGATTGGTTAATGACTGCCAGGGAGCCCCTAAAAGGAGCATTCAGTCATCTGCACAACGGAGAGACAAGAACACGAGATGCCCAGGATGGAAACTTGCTAGCCGAGAACACTGAGAGCCTGTGAAAGTGTGACGACCCCCAGTACCTGTGTCCGCTGCCTCCTGCCTGCCCTGCATGACCTCATTCCTGCCAGACCAAAGGGGTTCCCCACCATGGACTGAATCGCCCCCCAACTGAAGAGACTGAGGCTTAAGCTACCTTACACATGCAAAATATCAAGCTTCTTCTCCCTAGCCCCTAAACCCGACTTTCCTGCATCCTCTGCCCAGCTAACAGCACTTCAGAGGCCCAGGAGGAGAACCCCCCCCCCCCCCGGTCTCCCCCCATATTCCACCACCAATGCCCCCAGCGCCTGCTTGGGTTCCATTGCAGTGTCTCCAAGCACCTGGCCGTGCACAGCATCGCCATGGTTACCTCTGTGAATCAAGAACCAGTCCTGCCAGCTACAGAAGCGTCCTCCCAAGCCTGCTGCCCTCCCCGCTCCATTCTGGTCTGTTCTCAACACAACAGCGAGGATGGTTCTGTCAAAAATGAAGCTCTCATCACTCACGAGTCTGCTTGAACCTTCCACCCCTCAGAGAAAAGGCCAAGTTCCTCCAGCAGCCAACACAGCTCTAGAACGGACTCCTCCACGAGGTTCCTAACCCAGCCAACAGATTCCTCTTCCCTGAATGTCTGCTCATATTCCCGCCCTGGGCCTTGATGTGTCCTGCCCAGAACCCCTTCAACATTTTCAGACATTTCCTCAAATATCCATCTTCCAAGGCTACTGGATTCAAGTTTCAAACTCTAAGCCCCACCCCCCTTGGAAAGGTGTGCTTTGTTCATGTTCCACCTAAGGGCCTGTTACAGGTATGTACATTTTTTTTTAAATTTTTATTTTTATTTTATTTTATTTTTTTTCCCTTTATTTTATTTTAAAGTTGTAGATTTACAATTTTTTGTGATTTGGTTTCAATTATACAATGATCAGATACCCATCCCTCCACCAGTGCCCATTTTCCACCACCATGGATAATATCCCTCCCACCCCCATCCCCCCATCCCCCCTGTCTCTGTGGCAGGGCAATCCCCTGTGTTCTCTCTCTCCTTTTGGGTGTTGTGGTCTGCAAAAGAGGCATTGAGTGGCAAACATGTTCAGTCCATAGTCTACTTTCGACATGCATCTCCCCTCCTGGGAGGATCCTCCAAACATCCTTTATTTGGTGCTCCCTTCTCTATCTGAACTGCCCTTTCCTCTAGGATACCCGGCTGGCCTCTAAGTTATGGAGTAATCCTCCTGGTGCTGATCTCAGCTATTCTTGGGTATTAATCTCATACTTTGTTACTTTATATCCCCCAGATGAATGCAATCTTTCTATGTCTATCCCTCTCTTTCTGACTCATTTCGCTTAGCATGATACTTTCCATATTGTACCACTTGTATGTAAAGTTCATGACTTCATCTTTTCTAAGAGCTACATAGTACTCCATTGTGTAGATGTACCAAAGTTTCTTTAACCAGTCGTCTGTTCTTGGGCATTCAGGTTTCTTCCAGTTTCTGGCTATTGTAAAGAGTGCTGCAATGAACAAACAAGTGCAGATGTCACTTCGACTATACATTTTTGTCTCTCTGGGATATATTCCCAGGAGTGGTATTGCTGGGTCAAATGGGATCTCAATTTCTAATTTTTTGAGAATCGTCCATCCTGTTTTCCAGAAGGGCTGAACCAGTGGACATTCCCACCAACAGTGAAGGAGTGTCCCTTTCTCGCCACATCCACGCCAGCATCGGTTGCTTTTGTTCTTTTGAATGTGGGCCAGTCTCTGAGGTGTGAGATGGTATCTCATTGTGGTTTTGATCTGCATCTCCCTGATGATTAATGATGTAGAGCATTTTCTCATGTGCTTTTTTGCCATTCGGATTTCTTCTTTGAGAAAGTTTCTGTTCATTTCATTGCCCCATTTTTGGATGGGGTTGGATGTTTTCTTCTTGTGGAGTTTAACCAGTATTTTGTATATCCTGGATATCAACCCCTTGTCAGATGTGTATTCGGTGAATATCCTTTCCCATTCTGTAGACTGTCTTTGTATTTTGGTCAGTGTTTCTTTGGAGGTGCAGAAGCTTCTTAGTTTAAGATAGTCCCATTTATCTATCTCTGTTTTCACTTGCTCGGCCAGTGGCGTGGCATCTTTGAAGATACCATTAGCTTCAATGTCATGGAGGGTTTTGCCAACTTTATCTTCAATGTACCTTATGGTTTCTGGTCTGATGTTGAGGTCTTTAATCCATTTTGATCTTACTTTTGTACATGGTGTTAGGCAGAGTTCTGAGCCTATTTTTTTGCATGTAGCCGTCCAGTGATGCCAACACAATTTATTAAAGAGGCTTTCCTTACTCCACTTCACATTACTTGCACCTTTATCAAAGATTAGATGAGCATATGATTGAGGAGAGATGTCAGTGTATTCAACCCTGTTCCATTGGTCTGCAGTTCTGCCTTTGTTCCAGTACCATGCTGTTTTAATTATTACTGCTTTGTAGTACAGTTTGAAGTTCAGGAGGTTGATTCCTCCCATTTTCTTTTTCCCAAGAATTGCTTTAGCTATTCGTGGGGGCTTTTTGTTCCATATAAATTTCAAGAGTGTTTGCTCCATTTCTTTGAAGAATGTCATGGGTATCCTTATAGGGATTGCATTGAATTTATACAATGCTTTCGGTAGTATTGCCATTTTGACAATGTTAAGTCTCCCGACCCATGAGCAGGGGATATCTTTCCATTTCCTCATGTCCTCTTTTATTTCCTGAAGTAGCGTTTTGTAGTTTTCTTTGTACAGGTCCTTTACTTCCTTAGTTAAGCTGATTCCTAGGTACTTGATTTTCTGGGGCACAATTGTGAATGGGATTGTTTTTTTCATGTTGCTTTCTTCTCTCTCACTGTTTGCGTATAGGAAAGCCATGGACTTTTGGGTATTGATTTTATAACCTGCAACTTTACTATACGAGTCTATTGTTTCTAGGAGTTTTTTGGTGGAAGTTATTGGGTTCTCTAAGAAGAGTATCATATCATCTGCGAATAGTGAGAGCTTGATTTCTTCCTTTCCTACCTGAATGCCCTTAATATCTTTTTCAACAGGTATGTACATATTATCACGAAGCTCTTATTGAATAGATTTATCAGAAACACACAGGCTTTGCTTATTTTACAGATGCAACAATACACAATTATTGGGGGGTGGTGGTGGGCATTTTCAAATCACATTCCTTAACACATGTGTCTGTTATTAAAAATTTAAATTGATATAAAAATTTTTCTAGGGGGAATTTCATTTCATTTTATTTTTTATTAAAAAAATTTTTAATAGTGAGACATCATGAGGTACAGTTGCAGACTTACAAATTTTTGTGCTTGGGTTTCAATTATGCAATGATCAAATACCCATCCCTCCACCAGTGCCCATTTCCCACCACCACAGATCCCAGTATCCCTCCCACCCCCATCCCCCCTAGGGGGAATTTTAATCCATAAATCATAGCACCAAACTTGACGCTAGATGGCACACTTGAAGAGGCATTCACCATGGAAGCAGTAACAGGGTGCTAGGGTACTTATGGTTGAAGAGTAAAAAACCATTGAAAACTACACATGCAACCCAGGCGCATATTTGAACTACCAGTGTGCCCAGAATTTTATAAAATCTTCAATGTTCCAAAATTCCTTTGATATTCTAAATTCTTTTACTATTCTAACAATTTTAAATCAAAGGTCACTTTTTAATGCTTCTTGCTCACTTTTTAGTGAACTTCTATTTTTCTGTCTTTTGGCTATACCTGGGAGTGCGCAGGGCCTATACCTGGTTGCGTGCCCAGGGGATGTATGCAACACCGGGGACTAAACCTAACTAACCCTCCTTGCACAAGCATGTGCTTCAGTTAACTGTGCTCTCTGAGGTCCCTCAGTATTTTATTGATTTGCCTTTTGGCTAGGCCCAGGGGGCCACTGGGGTGCTGAGAATGTGAACCTGGGTCCACTGGTAATGAGGCGAGCTTCAGGCCCACTTTTCAGTATGTTAAAGGAGCGAATCATTCATTACCATAACACAGGGGATATAAGTACTATTATCTTTTAAAATCATTTAATAATACAATCGCTTTTCCATATTTTTAAATAAAGATAACAGACTGTACCATGTTTTTTGTTTAATATTCTCTAGAAACTATTCCATATAGCTTATAAACAATAAGTTAAATTTTATTATTGAAGCACATGGTTCACAATAGTATTAAGACTTCTGCTTCAATCACCAGTACCACCACCAAAGCACCAAAACTCTCTACACTGTGCCCAGATCACTTTGAGCCCACTCCCACAGCTCTGTTCTAAAAGCCCAATGGTTTATTTCTATTTATTTTTTGGTTTTTTTGTCACACTGGGCATTGCTCAGGGATGGCTC